ACCCAAGCACAACCCATATTTCATAAAAAGTAAAAAACTGTACTTATTTAATCTTCCCAAACTAGACCGTCTTCCCAAACTAGGCCACCTTCTCAAACTTGGCCTTATTATAAATTAAACTAGATTGTTGTAATAAAAAAGGTTTAGAGAACTTTTTGTTCAAAGTAGCAACCACGGAAAGAAAGGGAGTGCGCGCGCGAGAGAGAGAAAGAAAAAAAAAAGTGTTTAATCAACAAAGCCTCTGTTTGGCAAGATGGTTTTCAGGTTTTTTTGGCTATTTTAGCCACAAAAAACAAAATAGGCTATTTTAGCCATAACAAACAAAACATCACATCCAACCTATAATCATTACATTATTCTCTCACAAAAAAGTCAAAAAAGCCAAAAAGCCAAAAAGCCATTCCCAAACCAAGCTTTTTAGCCCAGGCTAAAATAGTCAAAAAAGCCAAAAAGCCAAAAAGCCAACCTACTTCCCAAACCAAGCCAAAGAGAGTGCTGTGTGCGACGTGAGAAAGAGAAGGACGGCGGGAGGAGAGTAGCAAAAGAGAAAAAAAAGATTAGGGTTATATTTTTGTGACACTAATCATTTTGGTTGGTTGTGTTTTTTTAAAAATATTTTTTAGAAAATTTTACTTTCTTATTTTTAATATTTTTTTGTTTTTATAAATTTTTTTTAATATTTTAAGTAATTTTTTTTACTTTTTAAATATACCTAAAAAGTAAAAAATTTGTGAATTTTTTTTTTAAAATTCACTAAATACTAAAAATATAAAAAAAAATACGATAATTCAATACATTTTTTTTATATATTTTTGGTATTTAGTGAATTTTTAAAAAGTTTTTTTCACAAATTTTTTACTTTTTAAATACATCTAAGTAAGGTGGATCTAAAAAAGTAAAAAAATGTTTAAAATTTTAAAAATATTCACTAAAAACAAAAAAACATGAAAACCAAAAAACTGAGTTTTCAAAAAATTTAATTCAAAAAACTCAAACCAAACACACTGATTAATTTTTTAAATAATTTTTTGATCTTTAAAAAAAATTGTGAGTGTAAAACTCACTTCCTTTGATTTATATTTAGTTCGTTGTTTTTATTTATTTATTTTTATTTATTTGATATTGAATTGATTTCATATTTGCATGGAGATGATTGATTGACTTTAATTATTTTTATTAATTGGATATGTAAGGTTTATGATTTTTAGATGATTGATTGATTTTAATTATTTTGTTTAGTTGTGTATGTAAGGTTTAGAGTTTTTAGTTGATCGATTGATTTTAATTATTTTGATTAGTTGTGTATATCAGGTTTAAGATTTTTATCACACTTATGGTTATATGAAATTAAAATTAATTAGGAACCTATAGATAAATTCCTTATATTCCATCATGACTCCATGGATTGTTATTTTATTTGAGTGTTGGTGAGAAAAAGTGTGTAAAAAAAGGTGAGGATTATGAGATTTATTTGAATGTCTTAGGCTTGACATTGTTATGTTTATTCTCTTGAGTGACATGTTTTGTATATGTATATTGTTGCCTCGTTCTCATGAGTAAACGAGTGTTTCGATTTACGCACGTACGTATATGCTAACCATTTGGGGAGTGTGAGTCAAATTCGAGACGATATCCTTGTGCAAGTTTGGCTTCGGAATGGTGTTAGGTATACGGGAGGCACATGGGATATATGTGTAGGCCGGAAGGGAAAGGCTGAAGTGGTGGAGTTAAGATACAAAGAATTTAATTATGAGTTTATTATTATAGTGTGAATTGTATTGATTTGTACATCTTGAAAAATAGTAAACGATATCGATAAATTATGAAATTTGAGCATAGACATGTATACGTGATTTCTAGACAACTTTTGTGTTTTAATTTTTTATTTAAAAGATCGATTAGAACTTGTAATCGGATGATATTGGTTATTGTAGTTTTGATTCATTTTAGCAATGCAGATTTTAGAAACTGTTTTAACCCACGAAACGAGCTTATTTTTATTGGATTCACGTAAATTGAAGTAAAACATTATTTTGAACACTTTTCATGTTTTGAACTTTTCTGAAAAAATCCATCTTACAGCAGTTTCTTTTCATTTTCAGTTCCAGATTTTTCGATCGAAATTCGGTTATGATTTTCTATTAAGTTTTTCTCTCAACCTGTTCAGTTTCTACTAAATTCGTCCGCGCTACATTTTAGAAAATTTGATTATGTACAATTTTTTTCTTTGAGTTTTGGTCAATTCAAATTATTTAAGCATGAAACAGTGCATTTTTATACTTCTTGAACAAGTTACTTATGATTAAATTATACTAACTTTGTTTTTTTTGTAAGATAGTGGGTTTTACTAATTTTTTTATACAGGGCTGACACACCATATTTTTATTTCTATTTTGTTTATTTTATACTCAATTTATATTTCGTTGTGTACGGGCAATAAATTAAATGTCACCGTGTCTCGAGAAACTATTCATTCGTCTCGGTGCAGTTAGAACTACTTGTCTTGTCCCGTAACAAGAATTAAATGTATTTTTGTTTGTGTTTGGTGGACACGTGGGTGTTAAATCTTGTACTCATACTAGTATACTTGTATACTGACCCGTTTTGTCTCTTGGCAACTCGGGTGCATTCTGTTTAAGCGCAGTCGAGCTTCCTTCGCAGAATTAGTTGGGGCTACAGTGGTGACGTGGAATAACTATAGTTATTGGACTTGTCGTTTGGACTTTTTTTGTTTTCTTGAGTTTAGGGTTGATATTTGTTTATGTATTTATTATTTTTTTATGACTTTAGTATTGGGATAATATGGCATAATTTGTAACTGTACATTATTTAAGTTATTTTGACTATTTATTGTTACTTTAATGTTGGAAGTATTGGATAGTTATGAGATTATGGTGGATGGTTTGGTTGGCGTTTAGTTTTTTTTGTTTCAGCCCTAGGATTTGGATGATGGAATATTAATTGAGGTTTAGTCATAATTTAATATTTAATTATCCAAATTTTGGGGTGTGACACACTATTCTGGTCAACCGTTGGACGATCGGTGGGACATCCGGTGGGACAATCGGTTAGCCCAAATTTTCCGTCCTTCGACCGAGTTTTCAAAATTGAACGTGGAATTAGCTTTTGAAAATCGTAAACAAACGTCATGTGACATTCCAGAGTTTTACCAAACACAACCTTAGAGTCCTTATCTGGTTATTCAGACAACTAGAGGAGTTTTCAAAATTCTATCAGAGTACCTTTTGATGTGATAACTTTTTTATTTTTTTTAATTGTCTCTCCATTTAAAATGAAAACTATATTTTTTTAATTTTTTTAATTTTTTTTGAAAACCAAATAAATATTCATTTTAAAAATATAGTTTTCAAATCACTTTTTGAAAAAATAATTCAAAAAAGTGAAACCTAGCATGTAGAATATATACATAAAATTCTATGAGAGTACTTTTTGATGTGATTACTTTTTTTAAAAAAAATTGGAGCAATTTGAAAACTTGGTAAAAAGTCAATTTTTTGGTTTTTTACTAAGTTTTTCCAAAAAAATCACAAAAAAATCGATTTTTTTGTCAAAAAAGTCACCAAAAAGGTCAAAAAGTCAAAAAATTTACTTTTTACTAACTTTCCAAAACACCTCTCTCCACCTATGGAGGGAAATTTGAATTTGTAATATTAAATTTTGTTTGAAAATCAAACAAATATTCATTTTCAAAATATTTCAAATCACTTTTTGAAAAAATAACTCAAAACAATGAAACCAAGCATGTAGATTAATTTTACTTGAGGTTTTAAAAAAAAAAAAGGAAATTACCATTTGGGATAATTCAAATAAGTATATTTTTTAACTTTTCACGAAAAAATGTACAGAAAAATAAAGAGATGGTGTGATAAAAAAAAAAGAGTACATTTTTATAACTCTACCCAAACAAAAAATATTATTTTAATTGGTATTAATTTTGATAAAAAAATTTATCGATTTGTAATTATTTTTATAAAAATACACTGATACGTAATTTTTTTTTTGTAGAAAAATGCATTCAATTTCAAAAGTTTGACATAATTAGAATGAATTTTCTAGATTTTGTGTTTGAATAATGTAATTGGACAAGTTTTTAGAATTTTTTTTGGCAATAGGCTAATATCAAAATATCATTACAAAAAAAGTCTACTATTATCTCTATTTTTCGATGGGATTGACTTCCCTCCAGTTCGATTACTCCCTCTAGTTCAATTCGTGATCGGATTGAAGGGTGTTGTTGGGCCCGTAGGGGCCCACCACTGGTCCTGTTTCAATAATCCGAGCCGTTCAATGTATAGAACTCGTTGAGTATTATATACTTATAAAAAATCACATTGATCAAATATCGATAGCTATTTCATTGAATCAGATTTCTGTCAACTGTTTATTTTTTCATCATCCATTTTTTTTATACAAAACTGATTTAATCACGTAACTATCAATATTCAATCAACGTGTTTTATAATAGACGTGTAGTACTCGACGAGTTTTACACATTTAACGATTTAGATTATCAAAATGGAACCTATGGTGAGCCCCCACAGGTTTAACAACACCCTCTAGTCCGATCACAAACTGAAGAGAAGTCAAATCCTTTTTTAACACGTGTTTTTGTAAAAAATTAACTAAAATAATCAATTTGTAAAATAACCATTAGAAAGGAAAAGAAAAGGTGATCCAAATAATTCAAACATAACTTTAATATTTTAATTTATATAATACTTAATATTATTTTTGTTAATAATTTATTAATCATACAGATAAAAACAAAATATTGCCGTTTTTTTTATATTATTAGTATGTTTATATATCATTTGCATTAATTATAGGGAAAATCGGTCTAAGGTCCCTATCAAACTTTTAGTAATGGATTAAGTCCACAATCTGTTCTTTTGTAGTCTAAGGTCCCTCACCCCATTCCCTCTCTCTTTCTACTCACTTTCTCTCTCTACATGGGCTCTCTGTTTCTGCTTCACATTCAAATGGCCAAGACCAACAAGGTCTCCAGGTGAGTTTAGCATTTTGATGTGGTAATGGAACTGCATGGAAATTATTTCTGGTGACATTGGTATACTAAATTCCCTCTGAACAGGTGGTTCTCGCATTGGGCATTCATCAACTTAATTTTAAAAGGTCTTTTGATTCCTGTGTTTCCCTCGTTCAGGCTCGATGTTAAGTTAACCAGGTTTTGGTTGTTCTAATTTTATTATTTGACATTTTTATAATGTATTTAGTGAACTTGGTGCTCAAATCTTGGATTTTGTATGTGATGATGGGCGTGTAGACTGCAACGACTTGCTAACTTCCATTACAGGTTCTTCTTCTTCTTCTATCTTCGTCCTTTATGCATGTGCTAATCAGGCAGCATTTAATAGACAAATATAATCAAGTTTGTCAAGAAACATATTTATTTATAACTTTAAATTCTTTTGCATGAAAAATTTATATTCTGAATGCCTCAGAATTGCTGTTGCATTCAATGTCAACATGGTAGTTGGGAGGCCACTATTTGGCAATTGAAGTAATCTGGACTTAGTGATGTGAATCATGCGATAAGTGTACATCTCTATAGTTCCTAGATGAATCAAGAAGAAGAGGGCTCCACTTTGAGGGTCATGTTAATTACATGAGGTATTTACATCCTATGAGATCAATAGGAAGGCATCATCAGCCTACTTCCTTGAAAAGCATCCTAGTGGATATATGAAGGAAGCAAACAAAAAATTATTTTGGAGAACTAAGATTTGTCATGTAATTCTTTACTGTAGTGCTAGATTAAGTTTTAAGATGCATGTGGATTTTTTTGTTTTATCTTTACTGTGGTAGCTGCTAATCAAGATATTAGTGAATTGGACTGAATTTTCTCTGGATTGATCTAGAGAAATTGCAGCCTCGCCGGACCAACCCGGTAGTGTGGTGTGGAGCAATCCTCTGTATGATTTTCAGCATCCTCCTCATCTTCTTCGGAGTTGCAACTTTGGTGGTCGTCCTCGTCATCAAACCGAAAAACCCAGTGTTCGATACCCCTGCCGCCCGCCTCAATCTCATCTACTTTGACACGCCTGTGAATTTCAACGGCGATTTCACCTTCCTTGCAAACTTCTCCAACCCAAGCCGAAAACTTGATGTCAGATTTGAGTACGGAGATGTGGAGCTCTACTTTTACGACAGTCTCATCGCAAGTCAAGCATTCCAGCCTTTTACACTGAGACGAGGTGAAGCAAGGTTGGCCTCAGTTCACATGATATCAAGCTTGGTTTTTTTGCCCCCAAATCTGGCACTTGAGCTTCAACAACATGTACAGAGCAACAGGGTTATCTATAATATAAGAGGAACTTTCAGAGTGAGAGCTAACCTGGGTTTGATTCATTTTTCTTACTGGTTACGTGGGAGATGCCAGTTGGAGATGACTAGTCCGCCCATAGGTGCTCTGCTCGCCCGAAGTTGCAGAACCAAGAGATGAAAATGCAGAGCATGTAAATCAGTTCCTCTGTTCTAGCCATTTTCTCTTCCCTATACTGTTTTGGTTTTGGCGTAAATGGCAGTTTTTCAAGTACTAGGGTGTCCAGGGCTTTGTCTGACTGATTTTCACGTACATGTAGTCCCTGTTTTACATATATTGAGTAATTATTGGGCATAAGCCCCAAGTGGTCTCAAGATAGAGTGTAGAATGAAACCACAGCCATTGATACACCCTTGAGAAGTACTTGGGGACAGTTTTCATGTAGCTGATATACCAATATAATATTATAGCTACAACAATTCTTTTTGGATTGTACTTGAACAAGGAATGTTCATTTACAATTGCAGAATTAACAACTGGAGCCAAAAAACTTCACTTTTGTATTATATCTTTAGTATGTTTGTGGATTCGAACTTGAAGGCAGCTATTTTGTACAAATTATGTTTAAAGTTGGATATATACTCAATCTATGCCTTCCCCATTCAACGAATACTAAATTGAGCGCATTTTTTAAAAATCTTTCTTACTGTTTCTAGTTTAAACAATCACCAGACAGATTTAGGGACAAGAAACCAGATTATTTCATCTAGATGAGCCCTCTGATAATATTGAAAATTATTGGGGGGACTGGTTTGAGGAAGTATTTTACAACCTACTTTTTGAACTGTAATTAACTTGTCAGAAATTCAAAGCCTTTTTTATCATTTTTAGTTGTATGACATCTTTTGAGGGTTCAAAGAGCAGGAGTTCAAATTATTAAAAAGACTAGTCAGTGAGAGGAATCAATAAAGATTCCCATACTGAAAACTTTTGTCATTTCTTATTCCATAAGCTTTCATTTTATATTGATTACTTTGCTATTTATTATTCCTAAAGTTTTAATTATATTACTTAATTCACTAATGGTGTATTGTACAATCTACTTTTAACGTCTATTATGTCTATTAAACCCAGAAACATATCCAATAGTACAGCTTGATCTAGGATCTCCAAAGAAGATACTTAAGCAGGATCATATCAAGATAAAGCACATGACCCAATTTAGAACCACTTTAATCGTAAAAGATTTTCTCTAGATTCATTTTAATCCCTCAAATTTATTTTAATAAACTAATATTTAAGTCGTGTGATAGTCACATGATGAATTTCCATCCATCTTCTACACAGATGTTGACGGTTTAAAATTGCATCTTAACCATTCTCTGCACATAGGGTCACATGATATTCCGCATACACCTATTTCATCTCCATTCCATAATTGTGTTACTCTCTTTTCTGCATGAAGAATTCCACAATAAGTAAATAAATATATGTGGATTATGGACTCTGCACATTCGCTACTAATAACAAAATAATTAGCCATAAAACCTCACATGCCACAGTAGCTACAGCCATGCCAAATTCACAAAATTATGTCTCAAGAACAAAGCATACTAACAGAAATGACAAATATCAACAGAAATATGCCCTTTTTTTCTCAGTTATATACTAACACGACTATACGCGAGCAAGGATCTAGAAAAACAGTACACATTTCCAAAACCACTCAATGGAGTTTTTAGGCTTCTACAACCCCACAAAGAAAGAGGGGAAAGCAGTCATCCAGTGGGAAGTTTGGATGATTTGCTGGCTTCTCCAACCTGTTAACTGAAGGTTACTCCAGGCAGCATATAACAATTTAACCATTCCGATCCTACTGTAGTAACATTGAGAAATATGACACATGGTCTCATATAGAAAGAAATACGGCATAATCAACACTCAAAACACTGGCTGTGGGTCTAAATACATAATAAGAAAAGATTTACACAACCCCATCTTAAAGAATTGAACAGGTTTCCAAGCAAAAAAATATCAATAGGAGGTTCACAGGTCATACGAAGCTCAGAAACAGGTGAACAAGCCTAGGTGGAAACAAATACTAAAAGAAAACAGACACAAGGAGACAATGGGTAGAAAAAGAAACAGAGCTTTTAAAGGCCCCCCATAGTTTTCTGAACAGACAACTGTAACGATTGTAGGTGTTATGAGCCAAATAGATTACTTCTTAATGAGAAAAGTGGACTGCCTAAAATGCAATGATTGTAAGGTGATTCCTGGAGAGAGCTTGACCTCTCAACGTAGAATTTTGGTACTAGATTTATGTTTTAGAGGGCAATACCAAGTTAGGAAGGATGGTGGGCATCGTAGGACAAGATTGTGGGACCCAAAAAGGGATAAATTAGAAATATTTAAGAATAGAATGGATAAGGAAGGTACTTAGAACTTGGAAGATAATGTTAATACTATGTGGAACTCGATGGCCAATTGTATGAGGAGAATCTCGAGGGAATTGCATATGATGGAGTGTCCCAAAATATAATTGCCAATCTATAAGAATAAAGGAGACGTCCACAATTGCAACAACTATAGAGGAATCAAACTAATGTGTCATATAATAAAGTGTGGAAGAGGGTGATAGAACGCCGATTGCGAGATATAACAGAAGTATCAAAGAATCAAATTTGGATTTATGCTTGGCAGGTCAACAATGGAAGCGATCTATCTTTTGAGAAGAGTAATAGAAAAGTATAGAAAAAAGAAAAGAGAAGAGACATTTATATGGTGTTTATTGACCTTGAGAAAGCATATGATGGAGTGTCCCAAAATATAATATGGAGGGTGTTAACGAAGAAAGGGGTAACAAAAGGTTACTTGATGTGATTAGGGACATGTATGAAGGGGCGACGACCACTATTAGATCGCCTGCTGAAGAGACAAATGAATTTCCTATCACTGTAGGGTTACACCAAGGATCTACCTTAAGTCCTTATCTTTTTGCTTTAGTTATGGATGAGTTGACAAGAAATATTCAGGATGACGTGCCATGGTGTATGTTTTTTACAGACGATATAGTGCTGGTGGATGAGACTAGGGAATAAATTAATACAAAGTTGGAGATTTAGAGAAAAGCTCTTAAATCTAAAGGATTCCAGATAAGCAGAACTAAGACAGAGTACATGAAGTGTAAATTTAATAACAGTAAAAATGAAAGCAGAGGAGAAGTGAAGATTGAGAACCAAGAACTACTAAAGAGTGAACATTTTTATTATTTAGGGTCGATTATCACAACAGCGGGGGAGATTGCTGTGGATGTGGCCCATAGGATTAAGGCGGGATGGTGTAAGTGGAGAAGTGCGTCTAGGGTACTGTGCGATAAACGAATACCCACTAGACTTAAAGGTAAGTTCTATAGAATGGCTATTAGACCAATGATGTTGTATGGGACGGAGTGTTGGATAACTAAGAAACAACATGTAGATAAGATGAGTGTGGCTGAGATGAGAATGCTAAGGTGGATGTGTGGCAAGACTAGACAAGACAGAATTAGCAATGCGTGTATTCGGGAATGGGTAGGAGTAGCACCGATAGAATATAAGTTGAGAGAGAATCGATTGAGAAGGTTTGGTCATATTCAACGGAGACCAACAGAGGCAGTAGTGAAGAGATGCGATGCTGTAAAGGTAGATGGAAGTGTTAAGGGACGGGGTAACGTTGGTTAGCGTTGTAAATAGAGATATGGATCTACTTAATTTGACTAATGAAATGACCTTTGATAGGGCCGTGTGGAGAATAAAGATTCATGTAGCCGGCCCCATTTGATAGGACTTAAAGGCTTGGTTTGATTTGGTTTGGTAACTGTAACAACAATAAAAAAATCTTGAGAGGAGTTTTTTATTTCTTTTTTCTTTTTTTTTTGGGCAAGTAGCTTTATATTACCAGAAAAGGAAATGCAATGAAGCTTAAAACTCGCCCCAAGACACCCAACTCTCACAGAGACAAATAAACCAAACTTGAAGGGGAACATGTATCAGACTAACAGTAATGGAACAAATTTTCTAAAAAAAATTCAGTGTGCGTGATACGTGCCAATGAGGATGCACAAGGTATCCAAATGCAAACCAACTGTAGAGGGTCAGAAATTAAGCTCCATATTAAATATGGGCCTAAGTGCTGAGGTCGCCCTTGGAATGAAAAAAGAGCATGGGCTAAAACCCAAGAGAAGTGGACCAACAGAGGGCCGAAGCAGGTCCAACCCGCTAAGGGGTCCAAACGGACTCCACGAAGGAAAATGCCTAAGTCAAGTTGTAGAGGCAACACATACCAAGTTGCAGAGGCAACACATGCAACGGTCAAGCTGCGGAGGGAACACTTGCAGCGGTCAAGTTGCTGAGGCACTTTGCCTCAGCACCGCCATTAGTATTATTGGTACCTCCACCATTCCAAGTATTGTCGATTCCGCCACTACCTGGAGTTGCTGAGGGAAGAAGAGAACTAAAGCAACTAAGCTGCAGAGGCACGTTGTCGACGCCATCTCCAATATTGTCGGTTTTGCCATTTGAACTTGCCACGGGAAAAGACTACCACAGCAACTATAGCCGCCGCAACCAATTTGCGAAGCGAACATCCCGCCAAGGTGATAGCAGCCTTCGAGAAAAGCTTCCCCTCTGCAAGAAGAGGCTAATGCTTGGCGCTGATAGCAGGCCTCAAGACTTATTGGTTGGAGCTGATAACAAGCTCAAAAATACCAGTTTACCGCAGCGATCCCGCGAAGATGGGAGCAAGGTAGCCCGAGTGTAAAGGACTCCCTTTCCATTACTTAGGTCATGGACCTGCCTTAGTCGCACAGGCAGGACTAAGGAAGTCCCCTTGGGCTTGGTACTAAGGCACAGCATGGCTGATAGCAAGCTTGGTTGTGGCCTTCGCCCTGGGAAGCTGGGGAGTTTGTGGTTAGGTGGCTAAGGGTGGAGGCTTCACTAAGGTGAGCACAAACATAGTCGATAGCAGACTAATGGAGTCCTGAGAATGCATGTATTGGCCAAGTAGACCTGAGAAGGCAAGTGCACAGCAAGGTTTACCGCTACAAGTGCACTTACTGAGGTTTGAGCTGAGAAGGCAAGTGCAGAGGCAAACGCTCCTGCCGCAACTGCACTTGCTGAGGCTCAAAAGGGAGTTGCAGCGCCAAACATTCCCGTCACAACTACACTCGCTGAGGTTCAAAAGGGCAGTTGCGGAGGCAAACAGATAGGACATAGTATATGTAAAGAGACACGTGGCATCTTCAACCTGGTGGCTCAAGGCAGAATATTCTATGTGATCCTTAAGGACACCTGTCTTCTCTCTATTTGGCCACTTGGTGTCCTCTTAGTACCAAGAAAAAGCCTATAAATAGGACTCATTTCCCAAGGTTCAATCACAGGGAATTTTGGGGATTTGGAGGAGATGCTGCCCATTTGTACACTACTATACATTTCTTTTTGAGCTACCTGCTTCATTCTCACCCAGCTATACACTCTCCAACTCCCAGAAAGTTGCTGCTGCTCATTCTCCAGCCACTTCCACCATTGTTGGACCATTAGCATAGTTTCGCCTCTCTAATCACCTTCCTAACCTTGAACCCCCCTACACCAACTAAGTCTATGTTTCGTTGAGGGATTTAAGGAAGAATTTGAAAAGGGAAAAAGAAAAGTGTGTGAAATTAGATAAAATATAAGTATATTTTATTCACATTTCACCTATCTTTTTTCTTTTCCTTTCCAAATCCCCCAACCAAATACAACGTAAAGGAAAATTCAGCAATAAAATTTCAACTACTTACAAAAAAAAAACTAGATCCAAATGAAATTTCAAAGAGTGGAAGTGATCAAAAATGTAAAAGAATGTCACCAACAATGAAGAGCTCCAGTCATATCATCTTACACTCTGAAAAAACTTGGAGGAAAAGATGTGAGATACGAATACCAATGAGCTTGGACAAAAAATTGTCCAACAGTATAACCGTTCTCAATGCCGCGCTCAAGCTACTCTTTCACAGAGTACAAATATGTCAAATATCAACTCAACAAATGAACTAAATGGAATCGAGAAGAGCCTAAAGCTCAAACCAATGCCACCCATCAAGCCATATGAATTTATTCCCTCACAAGGTTTAGAAACATAATAAAGACTATTCAGCAACATATTTACTAGTCTAACGCAAAATGGATATCAAGAAGCATATCTAAATTGGTATACAATGTAATATTTGAAGATCATAAAAGATGAAACATCACAAAGATACTCTGAAATGGGATTTATTAAGCATTAATATCAACCATACAATGCTATCACATCCTCAAAGTTCTATAAGGCGCAATGCTTGTAAAAATTTAAAGCGCATAAATTGATCACCGGACTAAAACGAACAAAAACAAAGAACTGAAAAAAGGAACCTCTCTCGCAAAAAAAATTCACCTCCCATCGACTTCAGATGGTGTCTTTGCCTCAATTGACAATGCGTGCAATCCACTCTGCAACTCATCTTGCAACAAATCATAAATTAGCCTATGTCTCTTAACCATACTCTTGCCTTCAAACTCTTTCGACACCACTTTCACATTAAAATGTGTTTCACCATCACTGCCCCTAACACCGGCATGCCCTGCGTGCTGATAAGATATATCTTCGACTTGCAACTCAGTAGGCCTAAGCTCTCTCTTCAATTTCTCCTCAATTCTCTTTCCTCTACCCCCCAACCCAACACCACCGTCTGAATTAGATTCTAAATCATCCATTGCTGATTCAGAACTCAATCCAGCTTTCAAATCCCCAACACCAAACCCATTTTTCGAGCCTGAATTTGAATCCACGACCGGGTTTTCTCCGCTCCCCACTGCTTCGCTGCCCGATTCACTGGCCTTTTCAGCTTCCACATAAAGCTGTATAGCCTTCTTTTGCATCAATTTCAACATATTCAAAAACCCATTATTCCTAGATGGAGTCAAACTCTGTTGTAACCCAAGAAGCACTACGAAATCAGGCGAAACCCTCAAAATCTCCCCAACAGGCCGGCCCGAAAGCCCCTGAACTAGCAAAGCCGCGAGTCCCTTGGTGAGAACCGAGTCAGAATCGGCCTCAAAGACAACATTTTTCTCCGAATCGAGATATGCTCTGACCCAGACCTGAGAGACACAACCCTGAACCTTGTTCTCGCTGGTCTTGAATTGGGTATCGAGGGGATTCAAATTTTTCCCATAGAACAAGAGCTGTTCGTACTTGGCCTTGGGTTCTTGGACGGCTTGGAAGAGCTTCACGATTTCTTGGAGCTTCGGAGGGAGTTCTTCAATGGGTTGGAGAGAAACAGAGGCTGAAGATGATGATGATGAAGCAAGAGGTTTTGTGGGGAGTCTTTGAATTGAGATTGATTTGAAGAAAGAGAGCTTTGGGGTGATTGGTGGTTTTGATAGAAGGAGGGTTTTGAAGATTGGGGTATTGGGGTGGAGGAGAGATTGTGGGAATCTGGCATAGAATAGACGAAACGAAGCTGAAATTGCCATCGCTGAGAAGAGAGAGAGCAGAGAGAGAGAAAATACTGCGCACAAGCGAAGAGAGAGAAGAGTACAGATTCGGATTGAAATTTACTTTGTGAAATTATACTTTTCCCCCTTGGTCTGTTGTGAAATTATTTCGAACCCCTCACTTTTTTTCTTTTTCTTTTTTTTCCTTCTTCTCTTTGTGTTCTACCCTCGTGAAAAATGTCTTGCAATATTTGTTTTCTTTTTATTTTAGTACTTACTTTTTTTTTTTTTCAAATTTGGTTGCGTTTGGATTTGTCATATTCACAACTAATCATAGAACGGAAATTGATGGATATAAAATTTTTATTAAAAAAAACTTAATTAGAATTATATCTCACTAGTATTTTTATTAAATTACAAGCTATAATGGCCAATGTTTTTTTTGTTTAAAATTAAACAATACAAAAAATCATATTATTTCATATAAAAAAATTTCAAAACAAATTATTTGTATAATGTTACTTTAAATGAAATAATAAGAAAGATTAGGAGAGCCCAGTACCACATAAATTAGCTTGGTTCATATAACAATTTACTTTGGAACACTTACCAGCTGGTCCCATGCAAACAAATTAATACCCACAAAGTCCTGCCATATTTCAATTTCCAAATTTACCCCTGAATGTCACACCACACGCGTGAATCAGAGAGCATATCACGAGGTCTACACTGTGTGCGTGAAACACACGCTCCTTCTCAAATGTTCTGATTTGGAAACTATTTTGAGGGCGATTTGGAAACCATTCTGAGGCGATTTGCGATTTGGAAATCAAAACAAACGAAGAGATTTTTCTTGTATCTCCCATCGTTTCCAAAGAAATCACCTCTGTTTCGATCAATAATCTGATTCCGAACAGATTTCCAGCAAATCCTTCACCGTTTCAATCTACATTCCCTGTTTCATTCATATTCAACAAACATGAGAATGAAACGTGAGTCGTATTCATCTTCCGTTCTTCTTTTATAACTATAATTAAGTGATATTGAACTTCATAATAATCACATCTTCATGTTCATTTGCTATACAATAACAGATTTGCTTATTTTGCCCAATTCAGTGAGAAAATTTGCTATAAGAATGATATATTTGCTTAATTTTCTTAATTGAGTCATAAAACTTGTTATAATGATGGATTTGCTTCCTTTCTTCGTTCATAACTGTAATTGAGTTATAAAATTCACTATACAATGATGGATTTACTTACTTTTGCTAATTCAGTGATAAAATTTGATATATAATAACAGATTTCATTACTTTGCCCAATTCTGTGAGAAAAATTGCTATAAGAATGATAGGTTTGCTTAATTTTTCTAGTTGAGTGATAAAATTTGTTATAATGATGGATTTGCTTCTCTTCTTATTTCATAACTACGGATTTGCTTCCCTTCTTCTTTCATAACTATAATTGAGTAATAAAATTCGACTTGAAACTATTTTCAATAATAATCACATCTTCATGTTCATTTGCTATACAATGATGGATTTGCTTACTTTTGTTAATTCAGTGATAAAATTTGATATACAATAACAGATTTGCTTACTTTGCCCAATTCAATGATAAAATTTGCTATAACAATAATAGATTTGCTTAATTTTTCTAATTTAGTGATAAAATTTGTTATAATGATAGATTTGCCTCCCTTCTTTTCTCATAACTATAATTGAGTGATACAATTCGACTTGAAGCTATTTATAATCTGTACCATACAGTATTAATTTATGAGCGATATTCAACTTCATAATAATCACATTTTTATGTTCATTTCCTATACAATTATGGATTTGCTTACTTTTGCTAATTCAGTGATAAAATTTGCTATACAATGCCAGATTTGCTTACTTTGCCCAAATCAGTGAGAAAATTTGCTCTAAGATTGACATATTTGTTTAATTTTTTTAATTGAGTGATAAAATTTGTTATAACGATGGATTTGCTTCCCTTCTTCTTTCATAACTATAATTGAGTGATAAAATTCAATCTGAAGCTATTTTAAATCTGTACCATACAATATTAATTTATGAGTGATATTCAACATCATAACAATCATACCTTTATGTTCATTTGCTATACAATGATGCATTTTCTTACTTTTGCTAATTCAGTGATAAAATTTGCAATACAATTGTTCTCATCTTCATCATGATACTTCATGTTCTTTTGCAATTTGGAATCTAAACTTTGCTACACAGTTATATATTTGCTTAATTTGCGTAATAGATTGATAAATTCTACTTAGTTTGCCTAGTTCAGTGATAAAATTCTTCTTAATTTTCAATGTTCATGCTCAATGTTTTTGTACAGATGTTGCCAGCCATCATAAAAGATTACGTCGTCGAGAAACAAGTTTCTCAAAGAAGAAAAAGATTGAAAAAGTTGAATTTGTTATAGAGCCAACAACACATGAAAGTGAAAATCAACTAAAAGTTAAACCTGAATCTAACATTGACAATGAGGAGCCCAAACAGGAACAATTGAAACAACCTACAGAGCTCCACAAACCAAGAGGGAAGAAAAAAATTGATGGAAGAAAAACTAGGACTGAACAGATACATGATAATGAAGCAAAGTATGTCTACCGTTCCAACATTCAATCTCTTATCAAATTTTTCAAGACAACAAAACTCAGAAAAGAGCATTTGACAGTATTGAGAAAGATACCTTTTTCACTTCTGGTTGATACATTGAGTGAAAACATGGTTAAAAGAAGAGATTCAATTAAATATGAACAGCCCACAGCAAGATGACACATCGTAAGTTTATCAATAACAAAACACTATTATTAAAAAAAAAAGCAACAAAACCAAATTATAATATTTTGTTTTCAAAATATTTTTGCAGGCTTGATTGCGGAATCCTTGTTTGCTACATCATAAAGGCAATATGTTTCCAATAAAAACATAATGCCTACTTTTACCAAGGAAGAATGCAATCAACTGAGAGCTGATATGTTAACTGTCTTCTTGATTGACCAACAAGCTGCTCAACAACAAATACCTGATCAAAACATTGATGAGTTGCCTCTGCAATAATCAACACATCTGGAATAGAAGAAAACAAACGGACAGTGTTACCTGTATTTTGATATGTTACAATCTTACCTGTATTTTGATGATTTTGGTTCTTACTTTAATCCAATGAATATTACAATGCTTCGTTGTTACAATGTCAAAGTTAAGGACAGTGCTTGGTTGTTACAATGTCAAAGTTATGGACAATGCTTGCTTGTTACAATCTCAAATTTGCTTCAATGAAACATTTAGTCTTTTTTAGCCATATCGTTACCAGACCTGGTTTTTCATATCAGTCTTGTTATCCAAATTTCATTCAAAAAATTGATTCTAATCTGAGTATTTGTGTTGAATTTAAAGGTTAATAACAGGTTTGGAGTCACTATACTGATAAGTTTATTTTTTATAGTGTTTTGTTTACCCAGATAAATTTATCACTGTTTTAACAAATTTATCACTGTTAACACTGATAAATTTACCAATGTTCAAACGAAAAAACCGGCGACTCTCTCTCCCTCTCTCATTCTTTTTCCCCAATTCAAGTAAATAAAACACTATAAAAAATAATAAAAAATTTACCTAATTGAAAATTAAAACACAAGCACTATTACATTGTCCAAATTGGAAATTAAAATACTGTTACAATTTGTAGATATTTCCAACTCTGAGAATGAATATAAGAACATGACATTCTTGGTGATTTCTGAATAATCAAAACCATTTGATACTTCAGTTAAACAACTCAAACATCCAAAGCTAGCTTCTGAGTGACCACAAAACAATATGCAGACTAAGAACTTGTTGCTAAACCAAATAAACATGGTAGTTGATTTAAAAAATTTTGCTTTTTAAAGCAGTTAACACAACAGATATGCAATTATGTATTCTAGAGATTTGATCTACACCTTTGTATTGTGGAAATTTTTCCGGGGAAAACTAGATAACTCCATACAATGATAAATTTATCACTGAAGAAAAGAATATTTGCTTGGATATGACAGTGATAAATTTATCAACCACTGACATAAATGTAATAAACCATCAACTCTTCTCACACAATAAGTGATAAATTTATCATTATTCAAAATAACAAAATTCAAGAACCACATTAATGGTACATTTATCATTCTTATAAAAAAATAATCCATCAACTTGTCCAAACCAACCAGTGATAAATTTATCACTTTATAAAACACCAAAAAACAGCAACTACATTTAACCCAAATCAAATAACATATGTGAAACTTAATCCTGTAAAAATATCGGCAAAAAATATAATTTCTGATCAACAAATTCCTCAATCATTCAATGCGAGTACCAAAATGATACATCTTTCAAAAAATACTCAATCATTCAATGCAAGTAACACCTCTCAACTCTCAAACAAAGTGATTCAATTAAAATCAATACAACTAAAGCAAAGCTTGTTTGCATGTCTTCCGATTATGAGTTCCCATCTTTCCACACCTACTGCATCTAATTCTCTTGATTTCGCCCTTAGAAGGTATTCTCTCCGTTCTTGGACGTCCAGCTGGTCTCTTACAAAGAGGAGGTAAAACAACGTCATCATCAACAACTACATTTGGCTTCCATATACTAGGAACTGGATAAATAGAATGTGAATAAGAATCACAATAACTACTAACACGGTAGTAATCATCAAGAAAGCAATTCAAATCCTTCCCACTCCTCTTTATAGCACAAAAACCATGTTTGCAAGGAAAAGAATCAATTTCCCACAATCGACAAGAACAACAACGTTTCCCAATATCAACCATAACTGAATGATCCAATTGGATTTCATAAATGTCATCGCTACATTTCTTAACCATCCATGCTTTTGTATCATTAAAAGCTTCTTCCAACTTTTTTTCTGCAAAAGGACAAACAATACGATTCCACTTATTCCCAACTTTTCTCCTTCTTGAAAATTGCTCCATTAGTTTCACTCGTATAGCATCAACAAGAATAGTTGAAACAAATGGCGTTTATCCCTAATCCATGAATTAAAAGATTCCGCAGCATTTGTGCACATTTCACCATACCTCTTGCCTTGAAAATAAGCGTTACACCAACACTCATTAGGCAAATCCTCAAGAAACCTCTCAACACTACGACCACGACGACCCTTAAATTCTTCAAATAGCTCATTAAACAACTAAATAGTAGGAGCATATGCACATCTACTGAAAAGAATAAACAAATATTCTTTTGATTCACGACTCTTCACTGACAAATAAGTCTTCAAGTTTGTCTTCAAATGCATTAGACAAAAAGAATGACAAGAAAACGGAAAGACCTTAGCTAAAGTTTTCAGCAAACCTCCATGTCGATCAGTAACAAACGCAATATCCCTCTTCGGAGTCAAAATACCTAATAACTTTAACAAGAACTAATGCCAACTGTCATAACTTTCACCATCAACAATCGCAAAATATAACGGATACAAACCTACAAACAAAAAATATATATACAAGTTATCAGTAACAAATTAAAAAGATTACAAAAAGAAAATCAAAACACAAAGTATATAACATATAACACCAGCCATAGATAAATTTATCACTGTATAAATATACAAATTTAACAAAAAGTATACAACATAAATTTATCACTAATAGATTGACCATACTCAATTATCAGCACTCTCCAGTAACAAAAATGATAAAATTATCACTATTTCAATAATAATAACACATAAACACAAAATATACCTTGGTTACCATCTTTCGCCGTAGCAGCCAATAAACAACCTTTGTGTCTTCCTTTCAAAAAAGTTCCATTAAGCATCAACACAGGCCTACAATACTTGAAACCATGAATACATGCCTCAAAAGCGAAAAACAAGCATTTGAAATGTCTTCCTTTACTATCAATATCAAATTCCATATCAAAAACACTCCCCAGATTGCAAGCATTAGTGGCATCAACATACCAACGAAGATCGTCAAATGATGATGAATAGTCACCAAAAACAAGACCCCTTGCTTTTTCAACACCCATCCAAGCTCGCCGATAAGAAACTTCTGTTCCATAATAGTCCTTGAAATCACAAACCACCTCACTAACCGATGTCAAAGCCTTGCTACGAATATCACTAGAAATTAGCCCACCAATCATACTTGAAGTCATCCTAGCATGTTTAATTGTACGAAAAGAAGATACACAAGTATGAACATCATCAAATTGTTTAATAACAAAAGCTTTACTATAATTTTTCACTCTAGCATGTACGCTCCATAAACATCCCAAATCAGCCCTTCTCTTACAATGAACAGTGACACGATCCTTATCATTCTTAACAAAATCAAAATTAAAACCGGAATGAATAGAATACTTTGACAACGCATCTCGAAATTCAACAACTCTTTGAGCAAACCTTTGTCCCACTCCTTTCATACAATTAACCCACCCATCGGAGAGCAAAGGTTTCAGTTGATTTGAATAAAATGAAGGCAAAAAATCAATTTCACAAACAACACTACTATTACTACTACTACTAGCTTCACCATCACAAATCATATAACCTTCACCCAAAGAACAACACTTTATAAAAACATCAATACGATGAATATCACAAGAAAGTGCCAGTCCAACCATAACCTCCAAATCCTCTTCACTTTCTAGACCACAAGAAGAATGTCCAGCCATTGAATACGATATATTCAAAGAACTACCAACTAACTCACTCTACTTTGCACACAATTTATATACTAAATCCTTGAAATTAAATCCATCATTATACTTGATAACCAATGTCACACCTCTAAACTTGCACATAAGAAACAAACAATTCTCCATTACTATAAATCCTGTAACAAACAACAATTACATTTCAGAAAACAACTCAAACACCCTAAAACAAAATCAAATACAGTGATAAAATTATCTCCTATTCCCATACTCACTCATAAATTTATCACTGTTGAAAAAGTTAATCCAACATCACCTCCAAAATACACATTGATAAAATTATCACTGTATAAAATAACAAACCAACACCTGTGTTCAATCAACAAAATTTCGTAACAAAAAAAAATAAAAATCTAAAATTCAATCAACAAATACATATTTCAAAACTTTCAATATCATGATCAAAACATAAATTCAATCGCAACAGAAACAACAGAGTAACAACAATATCACCACAAAATCAAAATCACCAACTCAACCTAAAAAGAACCAAAACATTGAAATTGAAATCAAAATCAAACATACCAGTCGACCTAACTCCACAACACCACAAATCAGAAAATGTAGCTATACACCAAACGCGAAATCGCAAATAGAAAGAATCACCAAACACGCAATCGCAAATCACACATCGTGAAGATACACAAAGCGCGAAATCAGAAAACACGAAGCTCCACAAATCGCGCAATCAGAAATCACGAAGCTCCACAAATCGCGAAATTAAAAATCACGAAGCTCCACAAATCGCGAAATCAAAAATCACGAAGCTTCACAAATCACGAAGATACAGCAGCAAATCGTGAAGTTCTACAGAAATCCAAATCACAAACACAATATTTTGATGGAAAATCCAAACAAAAACGCGCCAGAGCAGAGGAGAGGTAAAACGGTACAAAAAAAAAAAGTCTCAGGACCTGTTGGTGCACAAGATCAAAAGTCAGGACTAAGAGGGGAATAAGTGAAAAACTCAGGACCGGCCAGTAAAAAACCCATTTACTTTTGATTAACTCACCGGAATTCAGACGTCTAATTTTTTTACTAAAATCCCCATTTCTTAACTAATTATTGACTCAAATTTAAATTTGAATAACAAACGCTCCAAACCCTTCTTCATTTCTTAACTCAAACTCATCTCCAATCATACCCAATCCAATTTTGTCCATTTCTTTATTCAAATGAAGAATGCTTCAATCTTGATGCAAATGTCATTCCTACACTATGATGAGAATTTTTTTTAAAAGTCAAACTTCTAGTATTGGAGTATTTCATATCACCATTTGAGTAAATTTGGGTAAACCACTTGAATTGGACATTTGAGTGAATCACCAAACAGTACACAATTCGACAACCAAAAGTGCAGTTGGCAATCTTTACTTTAATGGAAATTTCTATTGATCAAAAAAAAAAAAAAAAACCAACCATAATGGTAGAGGTACACCAACCCAACCCAACTCCATAGCCCAGGATCCATCCCCTTTTTAACACAAAGACGGACTGACTCTCCACTAGTTGGGTTGGGTTGGATTTTCAATAGTCAACCCATATCGTCCCAACACAAAGCTTACATTTAACCCAACCCATCCTTGGGTTTAACCATATGAAAAACTGATAATGTCCACTGCCAAAACACCCATTATTGGTCAAACAAGTTCGGCTCACTATGTAACTCTCTGTTAATGATCACTAGGCAACATTGTAGAGGATGAATGGAACAATATAACATTAAAAAAAACTCCCCTAATTGAACTACTGCAGAGGAGGAACCACCGATTGTTGGTAATCATCATCTGTGCAAAAATATCGGTCTCCAAATTCACCCATGCCAGGGATAACACGGTAATCTTTATTCAAACCAATTTCAATCTCAGAGGTCACGATCTTTATTCTGGGGAAGCGTTTGCAAACCACGTGAACTCCTTGAGGTGCCTGGTGACATTAAGAAGAAGAAAAAAAAAAACATTGAAAATCATACCATACCTTCTGCGGCAATTCAACATTAGTGAAGTAAAAATGAATTTGTAATAAAGGGTGAATAAAGCAAGGGGCTAATTAACTTACGGATATGAGATTAAGGAATATGATGTTGGACTCTGGAACACCCTTCTTTATCAGTAAAGAAATAGCTTGAACAGCCGAATTCCCTAAGAATGGTTTAATAATTAGAATGGATGGACAAGGGTTGGGGACCGTCATTGAACCGACACAGTGTGTGTGTGTGTGTGTGTGTGTGTGTGTGTGTGTGTGTGTGTGTGTGTGTGTGTGTGTGTGTGTGTGCACAAATATATATATGTGTGTGTGTGTGTGTGTGTGTGTGTGTGTGTGTGTGGATATCTACAGATATTAAACAAAAATAAGACCAGTTTGACAAGAGAAATTTTCCACCATGAGAACAGACAAACCTGTGCCTAGGATAGGATCCAAAAGTAGCACATGCCTATCTGAGATGTCCTTCGGCAATTTTTCATATATCAGCTGCTTAGCAATTGAAGCATCAGGATAACAGTCAAAGGATTAGGAAACAAGAATACAGAAGCACACGTGCACATCTCGTGCGCACACACACACACAGATATATATAGAGAGAGAAGAAAGGGGGGGGGGGAGGGGGTTTGGTGGAGAGAGAGAGATGCAAACCTGTTGTCCATTGTCACCTTCTCTATGAATCAGAATCTTTCCAATCTTAATACCTTTACAACATGCCCGCAAAGCATTCTCCATACTCTCACCACTATCACAGTAAATGATATTTGAGTAATTACATGACTCCAAATGTGCATTTATGTTTGGCGTGTTGATTATGGGCTAAAATACTCACAAAAAAACAAATAGGCTAAAAAGCTAATACGATAAAATGTCACATCCAAACCATAATCATTTCATTTTTTCTCTCATAAAAGTCAAAAAAGCCAAAAAACCTATCCCAAACGAGACTTTTTAGCCCCATACTAAAATAACCAAAAAGCCAACTCACATCCCAAACGAAAGCTTAAATTTAATTTTCTTCTATGAAGACAAATAGGACAAGAACAAAAAGAGGGGGAATGAAAAACCAAATATCATTCATAACTACTAAATTTTGATTCAGTTCAGCAAAAGAAATTTGATTTCAATTCTCCCCAAAAAAAAATTGATTTCATGCTATAAGAATCTCTTCTCTTTTTTTCTATCTTTTGATGAGTATAATAATCTCTAATATGCTAACATATTAACATCATCAATCTTCTCCACAGCAGGGCCTAACGAAATCAACTAAATACTTTCTCAAGAATGTTTAACAGAATCATGCAATAGGGAGACCCAATGTCCTAAGCAAGTTAAGTTTCATGTTAAATCGCTTTCCTTCTTTATGTTTACGTGATTTGTGTGTGAATGACTTGATTGGACCATCATAACATTGTAATTCATTAATTGTCCGAGGTTGGTAATATTTAAATTGGCAATAAGGAATCAAGATTTGGCCTAGTCACCACTCTCTAGGCAGAAACTAGAACCAACTCCACAATTTCATGCAATAATTAAAAGATCATCTCATTCATCATTTTTTTCTCAACATAATTAATAAAATAGAGCTTGCAGAATCTAACTCCAAACCCACAATAAGAAAAGCAAAATGTGTTCATTTGTTATTGTTCTAAGTCTGTTATATATGTTTAATAATTAAAAAAAAAAATTCAATTTTCCGTGTTGAAGCTAAACTAGATGCATGCATATGCAGTGGAGATGGTGCCAAATATGGCAATAGAACTATAGAAGATATATGAGTAATTGTCATTTAGATTGCCATTGGACAGGTGGTAGAAGGTGCTAGGTGACAAAGCATAACAGGGTGGTATACAGGCAAACCAAGATGACAAAGCATATCAGTACAAAAATGCCAAACGCTCTCTCTCTAGGCAGAAACTAGAACCAACTCCACAATTTCATGCAATAATTAAAAGATCATCTCATTCATCATTTTTTTCTCAACATAATTAATAAAATAGAGCTTGCAGAATCTAACTCCAAACCCACAATAAGAAAAGCAAAATGTGTTCATTTGTTATTGTTCTAAGTCTGTTATATATGTTTAATAATTAAAAAAAAAATTCAATTTTCCGTGTTGAAGCTAAACTAGATGCATGCATATGCAGTGGAGATGGTGCCAAATATGGCAATAGAACTATAGCAGATATATGAGTAATTGTCATTTTAGATTGTCATTGGACAGGTGGTAGAAGGTGCAAGGTGACAAAGCATAACAGGGTGGTATACAGGCATACCAAGATGACAAAGCATATCAGTACAAAAATGCCAAACGCTCTCTGATTTTGTATATGATTTAGTAATATATAACCCCATTGTCTATATATACACAACCATATATATATCACATAGAAGCATGCTTGCTACATTTTGTATGTTTGGATGTGCACAGTTTGTCTGAGTTCCATGTATAGGGAAAAGTCATTAACATAAACAAATCAAAAATCTTAATTCAGCACCTCCAATATTGATGCCAGAAATTAAAAGTACCTCCTAATTACGGAGACACCGCATAACCTTTTACAGAAATCCACACCAGTATATACAGAACCTGATTAACACAGAAGTAAATGTCACAAAAACAACAAATTAGTGATAATACTTGCAGGCCACATAAATAATAAATGCTACCCATGCAAAACAGAACACATCGGGGTCAAACTCACATATAAGCAGGCAGAATATGGACAACATTTTTTTAAGTACTTTAACATGGCTGTAAAAGAAATTTAAAGGCCTTCCATTTCAAAAATAAAAAAAATTTAAAGGCCATGCATAATGGCAAATATAGGATAATTAAGTAACAACAGCTTACCAGTTGGAGTGATCACCTGCTTTTCTGTAAATGGCAGATGTCCCAGGCCATGCTCAACAACCTGGGTGAGATGGGATAAAATTGCCGAGTTAAGTCCTAATTATGTAATCAGGAACTATTAAATGGACCCATCTCACAGTAACAAATACCCACCAAACGAATTAACCGATCAGCATAAAAAACAAAGTCATGTTTTGTTGTTTGAGCATCACGTATAAGTGTATGCATGCCCCGTATCTGGATGAAACAAGCAAAAATATAAGAAGCAAATAAAATGAGATGAACCTCCCCCACCTACAGATTAGTGCAACATTTTTCACAAAATTTACGAACAGAAGCTCTTATTTTCATTTTATGCAGAAAAGAAAATAACTGTAGTGAATTGATCCCAAAAGATCATATACTAATTTGAGGCTATCAAGCATAAAACTAAATAAAAGTATAGAACTGCAAAAATATAGCCCTGCGGGACTGATAAAGTACACAAGTGCATGAACTAAATTAGCTAATAGGGCAAGAAAAGCAGTACCTGAAAAGTTGACTGAATGACATAAAGATTAGGATATATTTTACAAAGATCATGTTGACCCAGTTTTGTACGGATATGTTGGACAATCAAATCAACAGCTACATGATTGTCTCCACCACGGGGAATGATAATGTCTGCATACTTCTTCGTTGGAAGTATAAAATCATCAAAAGCAGGCTTCACAAATTTTGAGTACTGCATCAAAAATAAAATTTTAAGAAATAGATAAACTCAAAAATTACTAAATCAATATAAACAAGAGTGTGTGCACACTTGATAAGTGTGGCAGTGTGTTACACAAATCTTAGGAGACCAAACCCTAATTGTTAGACTGAATCTGAGGAATAGAAAACGAAGCAGTTGAGAGAGGGCTGAGGAATCAAAAACTAAAGAAGTTGCTAAAACTTGGGAGACATGAGAGTTAATTAAGGGTGACTCATTTTCCATATTTGCTCCTTTAACAAATGAACATAGAAATCATTTAAACCATATATAAGCTTCCTTAGGGTAATTTTGGCACAGAAAATATTGGTAAGTCTCAAAAAAAGGGGGAACACCAAAATGGTATTGTGTCAATGTGAAACAAAGACAAAGAAACAGAAGCAAGTGCATAAAAGGCTAGATGATGAAGTATGGAAAAAAGAACTAGCATTTTTTAGCTTGATTCAAGTAAAATAGTGCTAAATAACTAAGGCAAGAAGGGGAAATTTTGAAATTGTAGTTAATAAATAATGTTAAAACAATGAAGTTGCATATCTTTCACCAATCCTGAGACACAGATTAATCTAAGGGCAAAGTTCACCAGAGTGGTTATACAGTATAACCTGTTGAACAGTGAAACTTAACATATGATTCCCTACTTAACTCATATAGAATTAAGCTTTTATAAAACTTCCAATCCCTAAGTCTCAACTCCACAGCCTACTTCTAAAATGTAAAAAGCTTGTCATCACTTTCTCCACTAAGCTGCCTTATTTAAATATGATATACCATTATGACTGAAATATTTAGATATTGAATCAAAGTTTACAGGCAGAGCTCATACATGTTTACATGAAAGTAATATATATGAATGAACACACAGATAGCTATAAAAAAGTATCCATTAGTCACTCATGTATTTTTATTTTCACCATATTCTTGCCATATTATGGCCATATTGTTCAAAGTTCCTCCCATATTTTCTTGATTTTCCATTTCAAGTAACTTCTCATGGATTTCTGAATACTCATACTCACCCAAATCTGGTCATATGGGATGACTGTCATTTTAAATCTAAATAAATCTAAGATCATACATTTAAACTCAAGACTAGACTCAAAAGAAGAAGAAAAAATCTGCTAACCTGATCAAGTACCATGTTGATATCTCTACCTTTCTCAACTATGTCACGCCTTATTCTCCTCGCCAGGCGTACATCAGCATCTGTGCTGAAAATTTTCAAATGTGAAGATCATAACTGTAACAGTCCAACTTACTAAAACTACGAAGTGACCTACATGTTGCATGATAAAATAGCTCTTCATACCTCAATTCTAATTTCAAGCCATTGTTCAAGAGAAATGGCAAGAAAAGTACTTCGATTTTAATGAACAAAGATAATAAAGCACTCAAAAAAATTGCAACAAGAGCAGTGGAAGAAAAAATTTGGTCATGCAGGGAATAAGGGGTCAAAAAATACATTAGGGCTCATTCACCGAGTAGTGGAAAAAGATGTGGCCATTTAGTAAAAATAGAATCTCAATGTAATAACAGGTAGCAAAAAAATACGATTGCATTTATATCTTTTACAAACTGAAATACGCACACTGCAGACGAAAATAGTGACAGAACAAAGAGAATTCAAAAGGAAAAGAACTACGATTTGGCCAATAATAAAAGGCACATGATGCCTATGCCATAAGGCTAGCCTCTAGCTGAGGCACAACCTTTCTCATCAGGGAATCATGCCTAGTGAAAGTGGCAAACGTGAAAGATATCAGTACACCCTAAAACTATATGCTTACGTGTCAAAGAAGTTCGTAATATAAATTTGTTTAGTACTAAGGATTTGAGATCCTTCGCAAAAGGTAAGTATGTAAAGGCTTCCTATATGATGTTGTGAGCATCTAGAGTTCAAAGACCCATACAAGCAAACACTCAATTGTAATGCACAATATGAATTGATCACAAAATAATTTAACCTTCAATTGTACATGTAAAACTGTACGAAATCTACCAGTCCTAGCACTCTTCATTGGTGAGACCACACTATTCAATGGACTTCTTATATTTGGAGAAGGTGGATCATATTTGTTGGGACACTAAGGTGGATCATATTTGCTATATAAAATAGTCAAAATAGATACAAGGCCAAAGCCAGCATATCACTTTCTTTGACTTTTGGCAGACAAATCTGCTGGGACACTAAGGGCCTGTTTGGTTGTGTTTTTGTTTCTTATTTTATGTATTCATTTTTCAGAAAACACAGAAAACTTGTTTGGAGAACTGTTTCCGAAAGCTGTTTTGGGGAAAATTGTCTAAAACAAACACTTTTTAGGAAACACCAAAAAGTTTTTTTTTCCCAAAACACAAAAAAATGAAAGCACAACCAAATGCCCTAAGTATTTAAAAACGGATGTGATAGAAGCCAGAAAAGATTCAATCAGTTATCACTGTTCAAGTTTACACAACTGAATTCCCCTCATTGCAAAGTTGCATGTGATCTCATATCAAGAATCCATCTGTAAACCATGCCGCTTGCCCAAACAATACCCATGTGACCATTTCAAGAGGGTACCTAGTGATTAAAAGTCCTCTACAATCTCTTATAAACAAAAATAAGAAAAAAAAATAAACTTCAAAATATGAAAACAATCAAACTATAAAACCACACTAATTCCCTAAAACAAATGCAAATATTGTAAATAATATATCTTGGGTTGTGCAATTAATTCCAACATGACATAGAGCCAGTAGTCAAATATGAGAAGCTAAGGAAATAAGGTGTCTGAGCATGAAAAAAGGAAGAACGAACCTGTATCAACAAAAATCTTCATATTCATTATATCCCGGACACGAGGATCATGGAAAATCAGTATGCCTTCCAATAATATTACATCTGAAGGATTCACCTGGCAAAATTTCAGAGCAGCAGTAGTTGGTGTTGGAGATAAAACATGAGGATAACTGTATTTATCCAAAAAAAAAATGAGGATAACTGGTACATGAGATTCCATCAGTTACAACCTAAGAAGGTAAAGGTTCACTAAAGCACCAAAACAAGACCAGTTATACAATAAACTTGTACAATAACATGATTTGGGTTGCACAATATGGGCATGTATACCACATCATGGATGTAAAATAATAGAAAAATAAATCAAAGCAGATTCATTAAATAACATCATCTATATACTCAATCACATGTTTCTTATTCTCCGTGTTTAGAGAATTGTACCCTTCGAGCTGGAAACACGTCGCTTTTGTAACTCTTGAAATCATACTTTGGAATATCTACTTCTTGCCCATGCTTCAACTTCTCCATAGCACATAATAATTGTTCAGTGTCAAATGCATCTGATGAAGTGAAGAATTTACATATTAAAAAAAGCAATAAAACCATTAAAACAAAAACCTCCAGCATGCAGCTGATTTGAGTTACATGAGTTACTAGCACAAGGTGAACATTTATTACATGCTTACTTTCAAATTAAGGACTTAATTACAAGCTTTTGCAACTTCGTCACAACCAAATAACATGTTAGTGGTCCAGGAAATGAATATCCCCGAAGCTTCGAGATGTAAAGTGTCCAAATCAATGTGATCCAGTCTTCAAGTTCCAAATTAATGATCAGCAAGAAAACAGGAAAAAGTAATTAAAAAAATGGAAGCAAAAAGAAGACAGAAACTTGAATGGAAAATTCCACATGCCACAGGTTGTAACTTCAAATTTTAATTTAAATTTGAGAAGTAAATTAACTTATCCAACCAAGAGCACAGAAACCAAGCAAAGAATTCAAAAAACTGTCCAATGACAAAACAGCATAACGTGCCCAATGTGACAGCCAGTTGATAAATAAAAATATAGTTCTTACTAACAAAGTGAGTAGTAATCTAGATGTATATTTTCATAAGCTTACATTCTTTACAAACAACTAAGAGGAAAACATTTTCTTTGGGATTAAGAAGAAACTGAAAAATCAGTTGAAACGTTTTTCACAAAATAAGCAATACCAAATGATGAAATATTAAAAGTCAAGATACAGAACTGACCAGGGTGGTCAAAGTTGTATTCATGAACTGTTGTAAGTTCCTCCGGAGTCAAATTGTGATAAAAGGAATCCTGCCAAATCATCCATAGGAAGATATTTATTTGCAAGGAAAAATAGATCACCTCATCAAATAAATCAAAGATGGCACATATATGTTGTCAATTTTGGCAGGGAACGAATGTAGATGAAACTTCAAATCCATAGCATTTATAAGACATTCAAAAAATGTCAATATGAATTGCGCCATATTAACTGGTGTCTGTGTTCTCCGCACAGCTTGAATTGTGCAATTAACAAGCATGTCATTCTTTTACAAATCCTATTTAGCCATTAGATGATACATAATACTATGATAGCAATGTGAGAAAACAAGTGAAGGTCTACTAGATACATATTTCTTTAGGGGGGAAAAGTTAATGACTCCCCAGCAGCCACATGTATTAGTGTCCATGAGCAAACAGGTAAAAAGGAAGTTTATGATAAGACTCAACATAAAGGGCATTATTTTCAATCCAACAGAAATGTAAAATTGACATTGGAAAATCTACTCATGTTTTCGAAAACTTAAAATTGGAAGAAAAATAATAAGAATTCAAAAACCTGAAAAGAAGAATACAGGAAAAAGGCGGTGATGATGATGAAAAACTTATACCGACAATTTCCCCCATAAAAAATATTTAGGTGGCGACTCTGTATCTGGCAAAGCAGTCCATGTTTGGCACTTATTTTCAAAAATCTGTTTCTCAAAACGATTTGCCGGATTTGGACTCTTTGGTGCAGATTTAGAACCGCAAACAAAATCGAGTCCGAACTGTAGCGCGGGGTTCCTCGCGGACGTGCTACACATAGTAAGCTAAAGTAATAGAATTCGTCAAATTGACAATATCTTCATTGTATCATGCATGTCTCCTATAACTACATAGAAGTAAGGATTAAGAAGATAATATAACAATAGTAAAATTAAATATCAATAAATAAACAAGCAAATAAACTTGCATAGAATATTTTTGACTAGTGCAAAAGGAAAAAGCATAAGGTCAAGTTGCGGATTGTTTTGATATTATAATATCAACATATTAGACTTGATATTGAAATGAAATATTTGCAAGACCTATTGAAAATTTAAAATCTAAACTAGCCACTGCCTTAAATTAATACCTAATTCTTAAAGATTAGTATTTTACATCATAAAGTTATTGTGATTTCTCAACATTCTTGAGCTTATGTGTAACTCGCTGCTAATAATTTATTTATTTTTTATTTTTTACAATCGTATCCTAGCCGTACTCGTATCTTACTTTTTTAGGTTTTGCTGCATCGTCGCATCCGTATCGTATCGTATCCGTACCTCGTATCCATATCTTCTAATCTATATTACATGGACTCAAGTGGCATGTTGCGTGCGGGTATGTGTCTAAGTATCTCGTTCATTTAATTCTCATGTTCAAGGACACTAAGATGTGGCTGGATCTCATACAAGTAAGAAATTTATTTATCTTTTTAGAATAAAAGTGGTATTTACAAACTAATGTAGGGAACTTTATGCAAAAAATTGGAGTCTAATGCATGGTTATATAGTTACCTTGACTTTAAGCATGAGTATTGGGTGCATGTCCAACAAACCATATTGGATATATAACCTTTCTCTATGTTGAGTGTCCGACACGGTTATTTCATAAATTTAAAAGAGTTGATGTAACAAGGTACCTGGTTAACAAGTACAACACGCTGATCACGAAGCTGCTCGATAATCATATCACAAACTGTAGTCTTTCCTGATGCTGCACCTCCAGCAACTCCTGCCCCACAGAATGTTTAATAGAAACATGTATTAAGCAAAAAAGAGGATCCTTTTAAAGTTCAAAAAAAAATTAAACAAAAAAGAGGATCGAATAGAAAGAGAGAAACATAATTTATAAAAGCAAGGAACAAATTTCCCTCATGATGTAATATATATGTCTGTAGATTAAGAACAAATCACCGAAGAGAGGCCAATAACAACTCTTGGAAGTAATACAAAAAAAGTAAAGATGTTGAGCAAATTTTAAATGGGGAAAAAAGAGAGGGGGGGGGGGGGGGGGTGGTGCGGCAGTCGAACACTTAGACTGCAATTTGGATGTTTAGATTTGCCGTCTCATGCCAAACTTTATTATGGGCTCCATAGAGCTGGGTCCAGAATGTCCAACTTCAATATACTGAACCCCATCAGGTATATCCACACTTACCACAAGTGGCATGTACAGTACAGCCATGCTCCAATAACAGTTTGATCCTTCAGCCACACTTAATAATACTCCCAATATTTCCACAGCTCAATCTCTCATGCCAAGGATTTTAGTTCTACTTTCAATGGACTTAAAAGGCAATTGGATAAAAGAACCATGGACTAAAGTGCTACCATAAAATAAAATAAGAACAAGAAAGGAAAAAAAAAAGAAAAAAAAGAAAGAAAGGTACTGATGCTGACTGAAATTCCAAGTAGTTTTAGACACAGTTTTTAATATTTGTAAATATTCAATGTGAATTTTGAAAAATTCAGATTCAGATCAGACCACAGAATTCAAACTAACATTCTGGTGAAACAGTTCAGCACAGATTTCAAATATTAATCAAATTTGAGAATCTTTAATTTGAAAGTATGTACTGCTTTATAGTCTTGATTTGTAAGAATTACCCAAATTTCAAATAAAACCAAAGATATTAGGCTGAGTATTTAAGAACTAATCTGAAAAGTTTAAAAGAATAGACTACCGTCTCAATTTTTGAAATTCATGCTCAATGGTGAATTATTAGTTCAAATAAAAAATTCATTATGTATTGTCCTGAAGGCTGAAGGGCCGGCTTAGCGGTAAAGCTACCCCTTGTGACCTGGTGGTCATGGATTTGAGTGGCAGAAACAGCCTCTCCGCTGAAGGCTGGAAAACCCAGATGCAACAAACAAGACAATAAGAGGGAATGATTAAAATGATCTGTGCTGTGCCTAAACTTACCAATGAAAAAAGGTTGCTTATGCACATGTTCAGCTGTTGATGTTGTCGGTTGATCCACCTCTGAATTTCCTGGCTCCAATCGATCCAAGTGAAATCCAGAAAAATGAACCCCTGATGAAGTTTCTATGAAATCAACAACTGATTTAGAATTAGAACCCATGTCGTGAGCCCTCCTACAACCCTGCATGTTTGAAGAATAAAGGTTAGTGAAGTCGTTTAAGGAATTAACTGTTCACAAAGTCAATAAGAACGGCATGTAGTTCGCACTCAAGCAGGATCACTCAGAACTATAAGTCATAGTGTTTGTTGATTACCAAGAATCACTCAATCTTGACCACATTAGCTTTCAATTCCAATGCAATAATAGTCAAGCCAGGCAATAAAAGGCAACAATTTCATCACTCAATGTTTTTTGAGTTACACATAAAACTTTTTCAGATGTAGGAAAACCATTCATCAGAGAATGAGTTAATAGCAGGCAACCCTTGTTATTGCCGCTGTTTTCATCAAATAAATCCCGAGGCACTTACCCAGAAAATAATCTTCCAAATTCTATTAGTATCAAGTTCAAACTAAGAAGCACCTCTACTCTTTGAAAAAAAAAATTCACTCAGTCTCAGGATTCCCCTATGTATAGATTACAGAAAAAAGAAAACATTGATCAATTTATCAAATCGTATAACAATGAAAAGAAACTCAATAATGCATAATCGAACACAGACAATATTGAAAACGAATTATTTCTCGCATATAAGATCAACTAACGTACAAATCAAACCAGTTTCTATTCAAATGAGTATGTAGATCAAATGGAGTGAATGATCATAAGCAATCACAATCTTAAGGTTCAATCTGAAATTGCAATAACGAATGTAAATGATCACCATAAGCAGCATAGACTAAACATATAAACGCATACACACACACACATATATATATATGCATCAAAATGTAGAATCATGGATATACTTTGGGACTGGATTTGAGATTTGGAGGGTATTGATCGAGAAAAATGTATGGGAATTGTAAATATATACGCCTTTAGGGCCCTTCTTCCTTTATTTGTTTACGGCTGCGGATTTAGAGAGAGAATTGAATTTATAGGAAAAGTCGAGCAGGAGGGAGACTCTTCACCTGAGATTCATGCTTGGTTACAAATAATTTATTGAATTTTCTATTGTGTGATAGGTGAAAAATTTAATAAAAAAATTTGATAAATTATTTGAATTTTATTATATTTTTTAAGAATAAATTATAAATACACTCGTAATATAGGTTGTTCTTATAATTTGAAAAATTATAAATACCCTTTTATTAAAAAAAATATTTAACGTAATTAATTAAAAAAATAAAATTTATAATTGTTCTCCTATACAATAATAAAATTATCTAAATTATTAATTGAAATAGATTTTTAATATCATTAAAAACTGTTAATTGACTTGTTGATTTATTAATAAAAGAGGTGATTTGTTATAAAATTAGAAATGTAATTTTTAAAACTACAGGAGACGAGTTGTATTTTAATTAAATTTCAAGGGATATATTTATAATTTATCTGTTTTTAATTAATGGTGCGTTTATTTCTTGTTTGGGATGTCCTAAATAAGTATACTTTTTATCTTTTTAGACTAAAAAGTTGAAGAAAAAAATATGGATGTTTGGGTTAATTTTTTGACTTTTTATGAAAAATATGTATTAAAAAATTATATAAGTAAGTGTATAGAAGAAGTTAATGATGGAAAAGGCCGTACTGACTAAAGCGTAGGGGGAGCGCGGCAGAGGGTAGGGGTAGGAGATCGATTCTCTCCTTTTCGGGCATAAATTGGCCGGTATTGTTCAGCTCATGGAGGCCCATTACGGGTCCCATTTTGCTAATCGGAACCGTTCAATATGTAGAACTCGTCGAGTACTATATACTTGTAAAAAATCACGTTAATTGGATATCAATAACTATATGTTAGTTTTTCTTGTCAACTGTTAACTATAACACCATCTATTTTTTATACAAAACTACTTTGATCATGTAGTTACCGATTTTTGATCAACGTAATTGTTTAAAGCCATATAGTTTTGGATGAGATCTACATATGAACGGTTTGGATTATCAAAACGGGACCCGTGGTGGACCCCCACGAGCCCAACATTTCTGTTCAACTTAGTGATTTTATATATGTAATTCTTTTATTTTTCCTCACACGGTGCTAAAGGGTCAATTTAGCCCCAAAAAATTGTGTAATTTTGTTTGATTAAAATATTATGTATATTAATTTTTTAATATTTTTAATTTGTGAATAGTAATAAATTTTTTATTTTTTTGTAATTTTTTGACTTTTTTAAAATACCCCAAACCAGGTCTTGCGGTGGTACAATGTCGTAGTAAAAATGTCTTTAATCGGCTCTTTTTTAGATATCAAAATCTAAATTAGATAAGATTGGACTATTTGTTAAAGTATTTGCTATATTTATGTTAAATATTTATTAATTTAGAGAGTTAAGGTCTCGCTTGGGAACAGGCTAATTTAGTAATTTTTTGGCTATTTGGCTAAAATATGAACTAAAAAAACTAGAATGTTTTTTATTACTTTTTGACTTTTTACTAAAAGATATACAAAAAGTAGAGAGAAAAGAAAATCTTTGACTTTTTGGTATGAGTTGTTGACTTTTTGGTTAATTTAGTAACTTTTGACTTTTTGACTAAAAATGAAGGTTTCCAAACGAGGCCTAAGTGTTAATTATGTCAAGTGTTGCCTTGAAAATAATACTGAATAACATTTTCAATATGGAATAGTTTTAGTCTGTTTAAAGCCAACCATTGACTCTGTATATCATTCTCAATATGGAATAGTTAGTTTAGTGTATTATTAGGTATCATATACTCCTTTTAATAAGTGCTTTCTTCTCCATTGGTAACAAAACTTGAATATGGAATAGTTAGTTTAGTGTATTATTAGGTATCATATACTCCTTTTAATAAGTGCCTCTACCTTACATAAACTGCTATTTCTTTAACCTTAAAACTACTGGTTTTTGACCCATGAGACTGCCAGTTAATAGAACACACTGTAAATTGGATAGAACAGGGTAATGTTATGGGCCTTTTGTAGACATGGCAGTCTCATGGGTCATGTAATTATTAACTGGTGTCTAGATATGTTATATTGAATCTCATAAATAATTTTTGACCCATGAGACTGCTAGTTATGAATAACTGAAATACTTGTGTTATTAACTGCTATTTCTATCTATATTCAGTAATTTTCCTTAATTCCAGTAATTTTCCTTATATGACATATGGTCCTATCTATAAACCAGATAAATGTTAATTATAAACCAATTTCAATTCATTTTCATAGCATTACAACCTAAACAACCCAAAAATCTTATTAAGAAGCTCAACTATCATTAACTTAAGATTTTATTTATATGGGTTTTCAGTTGCATTTTGATATCGATATGGAACCTGAGAATGACTGTGATTGGAAGCCAAAATTGGGAATGATATTTGATTCTGAACAATGTGCGTATGAATTTTATAATACATATGGAGGAAGAATGGGGTTTACATGCCTCATCCATATACTACAATCACAGTATGTCTCATCTACATAAAGTATTACAATCTGTGATTCTTAAAATATAAAAACAATTCAAACTACTAAAACTATGAACAGAGCAGTAGTAGAGATTGTATATCTCTGTATTGTTACATCTATATTTGTTTTTGAAAACAAAAACCAACAAGCATATATTATATATTATATTTTCTATTTATTATTTTTAAAGATAGATTTTAAAATAAAAAAATATAGATAAATAATACGTTTATTTTTTTCAATTTAAAAAAGATATTCAAGTTGAAATTTTTTTTTCAACAGAACATTTAAACTCTTTTTTAATTGAAAACAAAAACAGAATATTTAAACAAACTGAAAATACAAAATCTTATAAATTACTAGGGGTGCTCGTGGTTTGGCGGTTCGGTTGCGGTCAAAGGAATCTCAAATCTGCCATCCGTCCGGCAGATTGACGGATTGGAGAAAATTAATCCGTAATCGTCCGCTCGTTATCACGCATCCGTCCAAAATGCGACGAATTAGTTCGGTTTGATCGATTTTGACGAATCGATATATCCGCTGTTCACCCTAATTTTAAGTGATTTCCAAACTTATGGTACTACTATGATTCTTAACAACAGCTCAATAATAATAAAATATTTTATTTGTCAAGTTTTTCTAGTTCTAACAAGTAAAAAATTTAAATAAATCAAAAATAATTTTATTAAATATTAAAAAAAGTTTTTTTTTAAATTAAGGTATTTTAGTCCGGTAGCATAAAAAATGAAATATTTTTTACTAGCCAAAAAAAATACAAAAAAATAAAAATTATAAAAAGAATAATTATCGAACCCTATCTAAAATATTTATATTGTTCATGAAATAAATAAATATATATATATATATATATATGATAAATGAATTATAAAATACCATTGAATCAGTATATGACCACCTAATGTACCATTTTTATGTAAAACTAATTTTTAAAATTTGAAGCAATTGCAATATCTAACCTTTTTTTTCATTAAATTTAAATAAAGGTTCATCTGGTATTGCGTGTTCTAATGAAATAATATAAAATTTCATCAAACCACCAATCAACCCGACAGTGTAATTTTTTCACAAATTTTTACAAGGAAGTGGTCATCCAGGAGACAACCGGCCGAACATCCGAAGATAAAAATGACTTGTAACTACAATAATTACGAACAGTTAATTGATAAAAATTCCCACCTATCCTTAATTTGGTGAAAATTTAGCATCTTCTTGATTTAATACTTATCTAGTGAAATGATTGGAATAGTAAAAGAGATTTTTTTTTCGAAGAGTAATGTTAGAGATTTCAAATAATCTACCAAATTTTTTACCAAATCCCTTACATGGGTGTGGGACCCACACCACACTCATGTGTGTTTGTGTGAGTCCCACACCCATATGAGATGTTTAGTAAAAAAATTTAGTAAATTATTTGGAGTCTATAGCATTTTCTTTTTTTGAATAATGTTGTATGAACCAATTAATGTACTAACTAGTGTACCAATTGATGATGTGTCATAATTTAAAAGATTTTTTATATTTGTAATTTGTATAGTGAATGAGGTCAATAATAATGTCATTACTAGTGTTAGTACACTAATTAATACATTAATTAGTGCATGTAGCACCGCCGTTTTTTTTACCGAATTTAGCTTTGATTATTACAAAAAATCAAATATTGAGTGCTCGTTTGGCTAACATTTTGGGACTAAAAAAATATAAAAAGATAAAATAAATTATATAAGTCAATAGGATAAAATATTATTTTTTACTCATAATTATTATAATTTTTTTTTACAAAAATTAAAAAATCTCAAAATAAAAATTAAACGAGACTAAAAAAATTTCAAACTAAAAAAATTGACTATAACTAATGTCAAATCCCTCAATATGTCTTGTTTGATATGTGTGAGGAGGTTATGTTTATCCAAAATAAAAGGAATATACAATTGATCAAGGATACACATCGGCACCGACTCGGATGTGGGCCGAGCTGACTAAACTAACCGTTGGCATGGTTAAATTAAGGGTTGGTTTGGGATATCCTAAAAAAGTGTACTTTTTGACTTATTGGTGGGTTTGGGTTGGGTTTGATGTGATGTGTTAGAGAGGGGATGTGATTTAAATAAGATGATGTGACTTAAATAAGATAGTGACTTTTTGACTTTTTGACTTATTTAACATTTATTATTTATTTTAACCTTTCATTTTTTGTGTCAATATCAGAAAATTTAACAAGGGTGAGGGTACATTTCTTTCTAACCAAAAAAAAAAAAAACATTTTAAAGAATTGTTTAAGCAATTATAAAAGAGTGATGTTATATAAATAAAAATTTTAAATAGAGTCATATGATATTTTGAATTCTTTTTATTTTAAATTAAAAGGGAAGACACTTATATTGTGCCTAATTAATTTTAAAAAATAAAGAAATAAGAAATGTTTATTAAGAATGTGCAAAATATACAGTAAACTAAAGAATCGAACTATTTAAAACTTTTTGGGATTTTGGTTCAATTTTTTAATACATTAAT